TCATCATCATCATCATCATCATCATCATCATCATCATCATCATCATCATCATCATCATCATCATCATCATCATCATCATCATCATCATCACAGTTGCGAGCGCGTAAAACCCCATACTACTACTACATCATCATCACCACCACAGACCAAACAATTCCATCTTTTTGGGGTTTTTTCTCTTGAAGCACAACAATTTGTGCCATGTCGGTCCATTTTTACGCAACTTATAAATAAATGTCGACATCAAATCAAGGCACGAGACACTAAAAAGTTGGGTTGTTTTTATTTCTTTTGAAGTTGTCGATGGTATTGTGATTCCCCTCTGGAGCTGTCACCATTTCCGACGGTACTGAACTTGTCCCTGTCGTATAGCTGCTCAACTCTCTATGCCACTGATTACATTGTGCTGGTGTAGACACTTTACAAACCTAAAGAAATATGTGAGGCAGCGTGGTGGAATCAGGCTCTCGTCAATTTTTGGGCATGTAAAGTTATTAGTATCATCTTAAAGTTTGTTCACTTGTCTATATTTGGATGAAAAAAATTGCCATTTATCTTGAATACAAGTTGAGATATTTTGCAAATGAAGAAGGTTGGGGTCACCTATTTTCAGAGGTAAAATGAGTGAGAAAATGGACACCAAAGATTAGTTATTTCCTTAGCTTAAAAGTTCATGGTAACTGAAAATGTACATTTTTTGTGCCTTTAATCAACGTTTTAAAGAAATGTCCACACAGAAATGAGTTCTTGAATGGGCATGAATGGTGTTGAGTCAAAAAAACAAAAATTTGATAACAATTCACAAATCAGCGGAATAATGCTAGTTTTTTCACTTTAATTATTTTGACGAGAGCCTGATTCCACCACGCTGCCTCGCATATTGTAAATCGTTTATTAGGAAGCAGGTTATTTTGACCCTGCCTACCGGGGCCCACGGACGGAGGTATACAAAAAAAATTCTCTCCTCACGGCAATCGAATCCACGTCTTCCTCATGGGATGTCAAGCACAGACTGTGGCGTCACTAAGAACTCTGCTATAGCCATTATCTTACAATAATTATCACCGTTGAGATATTCTGACAGCAGAGCTCGCGTCTAAAGAGGTCACTTTTAAGGATAGGCAGGCTAACCGAGATGTTGTTGGTTTCCAGAAACCGTGACCTACACAAAAAAATGGACTTTGCCCTATGTATAGGGAAAGTTTGGTTTCACTGGTGTGTATATTAATTTGTTTTGTTATAGAGAAAACTCTCCTTGATTTAAAATAAACAACTGAACATGGGGCACTTTACCTTCGATTTTCTCAAAACAGCATTTTTCGGGATAGCCTCCTTGTGCTTAAAAGCGACCAACTATCGCCGCTGAGATTTGACAGTGACAGCAGAGCTCGTGTCTAAATTAGGCTCTAACTCTAAGGGCATACTGGACAATGTGTTCAAAAGTGCTGTTCAACCATACAGATCATTATTAATACTAGGAGGTCCCGCCCCTTAAATAACCTAATAGTGTTGATAGGGGAGTTAAACTCATACCATTTTCACCATTTCTTCTTCTTCTTCTTCTTCTTCTTCTTCTTCTTCTTCTTCTTCTTCTTCTTCTCCATCTACACCTACACCTCCTCCTCCTCCTTCTTCTATGAGCGCTCCAAACCCGCTGAGAGAAGACGGACGAAGGCGTGAGATCGAAACCGGGTATTCCCATAAACCTAATAACTGAACTCGAAATATCCTTCGGCGCAGTCGGCACTCTGCAGTGAATATACAATGTCGAAGCAAATGATGGCGATCGCTACAAAAGGACTGAATTTAACTTAACATAGGCTTTTTTCTTACACAGTTTATCTAAATGAAAATACAATAGTGCAACACTACGTTTCAATTTATGGGTACTGACAAAGTTTCATATTTTTTGATCCGGTAGTTTCTGAGAATATACTGTTCGCAAAATTTGGCCTTCGCTCCATTAGTAGAAAAGATTGTAGGCCGGGGTTTTTCGCGCGATACATGAATTCACGCTTTTCGCTATGTTATCTCAAGAAATTCACAACAATGTAGGAAATTCACGAATTCAAATCGTTATCAAAATGTTCATGTGTTATTTGAAGCTTCTTTCTATTATATTCCCTCTTTAATTTAACAAATCCGTCCTATAGTTTCCTAATTATCCTCTACCTCTATAATCTGTATTCTTTCTCCCTTTCTCCATCTCTCTCCTCTCTCTCTCTCTCTCTTTCTCTTTCTCTTTCTCTCTCTCTCTCTCTCTCTCTCTCTCTCTCTCTCTCTCTCTCTCTCTCTCTCTTTCTCTATGTCTTTCTTCTCTCATGGATTTTCTGTCACAGTGATTTACATCAAAACCTCAGAACGGGAGTTAATACAATCCTCTCTGACACCACAGACAGGTATGACAACAAGGGGAGTCAAGGGTAAACTCCTCAGTCACAGGACAAGGGGCTTTATTTCCTTCGCTTTCTTTTTTTCCCCTCTGTTGTTTCTGATCGTCTGCCTTGTTTTTTTCTTGTCCAAAATGAGGGTTATCGTGTCCATGTGCTCGGTTCGCGAAACATATACGATAACGCGCAAATATTCGCAATGATATTAATATTTACAAACGTTTACAATAAGCTTCCTCGTATTTACAAAGGTCTATCGACATTTTTGGCCGTTTTGAGTTACTAAGACCATGGGGAAAAACTTCTCTGTATGCTCTATCAAAATAGTTGGATTATTCGGAGTCGTTGTCAAGATATTCAAAGAATTGCATTCTAAAAAGCTTGACATACTATGAAACTAAAAAAAAAAATTGACGTCAAATTTCTCAAAACTAGGCATTGAGCAGATAGAGGGTTGCAATTCTAAGGTGGTGAATAGTCGACCGCAGTGCTTGTTTTACCTGAGGGATATATACCACAGGTGGGCGAAATTGTAATTTTGGTGGGCGGTGGGGATTACTCAGATAATGGCAGGCATTATTTAATTTCCCGTGTCGAAATATCTGGTGGTAGACGGTTGGAAAAATGCTATCCTCGTAAAGGTGGCAAAAGTAGGCGCTGGCCATAAAAAGGTTCACAAATACTGTTCCTTTTATATTATTAGCGCCTACCGACTATTATTATCCCAGCAGTCCCCTGGACACTAATAACCATTATTAATTATCTCGGCTTTCCGGAAAGCATACAGTGCAAGCAGCCGATTAATGCAGTAATTTTCATCTCAAAGAAGGCTAGGGCTCAGTTGGTATACTGTCTTCTATGGTATAGCAGTTGAGCGCTTCACCGCAGGACGAAAAAGACGTGAGTTCGATCCCCTTATGGGAATGCTATTAAATCTCATTGAGTATCTCCCGGTGTTAACTAGGATACTGTATCCCTCTCAACCCGTGGTGCCCTGAGATGCAGGGTTAAAGTAGCCCTCCTTTTGAAAGATCTACATTGTGCCGATGGGGGCGTATAACACCAATATCTTCAACTATAGCTCTACAGAAAGAAAAAGAATGAACAAAGCCAAAAGCAAGAACAAAATAAGTACCAAAACAAAATCGAAAGACAGCAACAGCACATATCAAAATCAAACAAAAACTTAAACAAAAAAAAACACAAAACAAAACAAAACAAATCCAATAAAACTCAGTGTAAATCAAAGGACGGTATGGCAAATTAACCAGGGAGTGTCCACAGAATGCCAGGCGTGTCAGGTGGGTGCTCTTCTCTAGCTCTGAAAATAGTACGCATTAGTATAACCTTTCCATTTCATGGAACAATACACTCTTTTGTGAAGATGTACTGGGAAGTAAGAGCCTCCTTATTAAGCTCTAGATTCTCTCCCCCGAATCTGACCTTTGCCCTCTGTGTCTGCTAATGGGCTGGCCGGTTGTGAACAACAGTTTTACAGCAACAAAGTATATTCTAATCTTTATCACCTCCTTTTTAAAGAAACTCAATTTGTATGATTTCTCAGGGAACTCACCTTGACCTCGAAGGACAGATTGTGACCTTTGTTGGACTGACCTCGACCCCGTGGGAACATGGCCTGCTCAGAGTCGACACGCACCTGTTTGAAACTGACAATTGCTTTCATCAACCTGCCCATTATCGTAAGTACAACGAAATGTTTTGTGAGGAAAGAATGACGTCATTTTAGGGCCACTCCGCCAGCTCAGCTTTTGGTATCATTCTGGATTACAGAGCGGACGGCCTTGGTTCAAATACTCGACCACAATTGTGTAACGCCACCATCTTTTGTATAAATGCCCCCCCCCCCCCAAAGTGCTGTCGTTATCGTGTGCAATGAGGCGGGACAAGCGCTTCTCTTAACCTACCCACATCGCCATGGTCGGCCTGGCGGGACTTACTGTACAACGCCCAGTAGATTTCAAGAATCACCAAGGTACATTCTGTGTATCGGCAAGTGAACACTTTATCGGAGCACATAACGTCCCATGTTTTTCATGTGTTTGAACGCCTGTGGTCTACTGGACCTAAATCTCACCAGACCCCCCCCCCCCTTTTTCCACCAATCCAAACCCAGTAACATTTCTCTCTCATACCCTCCACTGATACGACACTTATATAAGTTTTCTCGTTCGGGAATCGAATCGGGTCACCTGTGTGCAACCAAAGAGTCTACATAACAAGAGGGGCCACTTCTCTCTTTGAGCCAATTAAAAAAGTGTCCTCAAAATTCGGTGGCACCCTTTTCGCCAATGCGCACCCTTTGCGAACAGAGTTACCCTACTTGAGTTTAAAAATCAAAGTGAAACTAGCAAGTTTTTGAAAAATTTCGGGAGAACGCTTTTTCAAAAATGGTTACGCTGAGAAAAAACCTCTTCCGGAGGAAAGGGTGATTGTTTTCTTCGTTTAATTTGACTTCAGCATGAAAGGCGAGAGGTCATTAAAATAAATAAAACCTAAAACTCCGCACTGAACGAACCCGAACTGCTGATGAGCAGCAGTCGATCTGCGCACGCAAGGAGGTGCTATTCCTATTCTTCTTCAGGAAAAACGAAAGAGAGCTTCAAAACAGACTGCAGCGCCATCTGAAGCAAAGAGCGAACTTCCGGTGGACACTTTTTTGGCTGAGTGGCCCATCTTGTTATGTACTATCTTTGGTGTAACGGCACAGTGCGTAATCATTACATCACAGAAGCCGGCTCGCTAAACGTACTGAAACTCTAAATGATTGGATGGAAATGAAGGAGGGATGGGGGTGGAGGGAGGCATTTTATAAGACCTTCCTCTGAAGTCAAATGAACTGTTTTTAGAGACATAAAAAAATCTCCAGAAACTCCTGACAGTGTAGCATTTCCACATCCACGAACCCTACGACATACTATTTTGAAATCACCCATTCCCCCTTCCCCCCACCCCTCTCTCTCTCTCTCTCTCTCTCTCTCTCTCTCTCTCTCTCTCTCTCTCTCGCTCTCTCTCTCTATCGCTCTCTCTCTCTATCGCTCTCTCTCTATCGCTCTCTCTCTCTCTGTATGTGTGTGTGTGTGTGTGTGTGTGTGTGTGTGTGTGTGTGTGTGTGTGTGTGTGTGTGTGTGTGTGCGTGTGTGTGTGTGTTCCCTCCTTCTATTATCTATTTTTGGTGGCCGAATTTTGCTATTCAAAAGGCTTTTTAATGGCTGCATCGATCGACATGCGGTTGTCGCCAAAAGATTCTTTAAAATATTCTCCAGATCATGACGCCCTTCGTTTTTTCAGTTTTGAAACAGTTTAGCTGCAAAAAGCTAAATTTATTTATTTCACCGATCGGTTTTGTAGGCCGGCGCTTCTGTCTCTGTAATTTTAGAAAATCGGGTTTGGAAGGGATATTTCGCTAGGCGCTTTTTTTTGGTTGAAAGTATAGATCTAGAGTCTAGATCTAGACCTTCCAATTTTTTGCATCTCTCAAGATTTAATGCTCCATTCCAGTAGAGTGTAAATATAATAGGCAAATGACTTTCAGTTGATGTTTATGCACCGGTCATTCCTTTAATCGAAACGGGGCCCAGCTAGTCTTTCTCTATTTCCCTACATCTTTCGCACATCATTCTTTTCTTCTATCTGTGTCGGTCTCTCCCTCTAGCTATCTCCTTGTTCTCTTCCCTTTGTCCCTTTTTGTCAAGGCACCTTGTGGAGGAGGGGAGGAATTTACTGCGTAATGGAAGCTACACCGTGGTGCCCCCCCCCCACCCCCTAACCCCCTTTCCTCCATTAATAATTTGTCCAAAGACCATGCAAATTTTACATTAAAAAAAATTATTTAAAATCGCAGATACCTTTTTACGTCCTCGCCGATACAAATTAGAATATTAAAGAGGTGGCTCGGACCCTGTCTGTCAGGCGCAACCAGAGCTGAGAGGGAGACAACATCCCAGCAGGAAGACAGAAATATTCGAGTAAAGTTCTCTTTCCTTGGAAATCGAACACGAGTCTCCTGTGTGTGATGGTGAAGTGTATAACTGCTACACAACAGGCGTCGGTACAGCTAACGTTGGAAAAACATTCGCCCTTATACAACGGACGTTTTGCGTAGTGAACAGATTCATCAACCATATCCCCGTAGATATTGATCATATTTGTACTGAAAATGAAAAACTCTATTTTACTGATAAAGCAAGAAATCTGGGAGTGTATTTTGATTCAAAATTGTCAATGGAACATAATATCAATTATTTATTTACCATTTTATTTTGTGAATAGCGTAGAATTGGTCATATGTCTATGTTTTTTAATGAACACTCGCTGAAAACGCTCGTGTCATCTTTCTTGTTTTCACGCATCGATTATTGCAATGCTTTACTAGCTAATTTACCAAAAACAACTCTTCACAAGTTACAACGTTTTCAAAATCATGCTGCTTGGCTTGTACTAAAGAAAAAGAAGACGGATCTCATTACTCCCGTGTTAAGAACGTTGCATTGGCTGCCTGTGTCAGCTAGAATGTCATATAAAATTGCAATATTATGTCATAAATGTGTCAATAACAAAGCTCCCTCATATCTTAGTGATCTCATCCAGATTTATGTCCCATCTAGATCACTAAGATCAGGTGATCAGTATCTTTTAAGAGTTCCTAGAAAAGATGGCACAAAATTAGCTGAAAGATTGTTTGCCCACTTTGCTCCATCAGTTTGGAACTCTCTTCCCCAATCCTTGAGACATACAACATCTGAGTCTAAATTTTAAAAATCTTTAAAGACACATTTAAT